ATGAGCTCTCGTACTTGTGAAAATTGATGATTTAAGAATAGTGCCCCAACCAAAACAACGTTTAGTTTCTTCATTCAGCTAACGATCTTTCCAGCAAATGAACAGCCGGACGTGAATGTTCAACAACGTGTTGAACCAATCCCGATAGTTAACCCTGTAGCGAATGAGTCCTCAGCATCACCAACAAACTGCTTGCCTAATGAAGAGTCGACTATGCCTATGCGAGTAGCTTCAAGCCAGGGTACGGTAGTAGCGCAGAGCTGTGATTAGATCTAACTTGTGTGCGGATAATTGCGTGCGTGCGTGTGTGTTTCTGTAAATTACGTATACGGTAGATCATTTCAGTTAGTGCAGTTCCTTGAAACTTGAAACTTTAGTGTGAATGTTTAGCAGAGTTGTCTTGTGAAGTCATATCCAAATGTCACAACTCCGTATGTAAATTGCATGACAATTTAAGGAAGTAACATCTCTATTGTAATCATATCGAACTGTCCGTTGAGTCAGTATGACAATCCCTTTGTAAGCTCTCTTCAACTCAAATGCGTCAATAACACAAAGAGTGAGAAAATTTAATGAGGATTCATCAACTGACTGAGTCAGTGAACTTTATTAGATTAGTGATAGTTCAGTTGAGCATGTTGCATGATGGTTTCAGATGTATCCCCTTTGTAGCTATGCAATTTGAAGTGATAGCATTAGTGCTAGAATGGCTGTGGGCTTGTGTTGGCTGCCGAAACTGTTTGATGTGAATGCCTTGAATTGTTGCAAGAATTTGTGTGTGCGTTACGGTATGTTTTTAGCGAAATCCCGGGAGGCATGTAATGAACGTATGGACGCTGGCCGATGTGAGGGCAGTTTCGAGAGTTACTACTACGAGAAGGCATCCGGCACGTGTGAACCGTTCAAGTATTCGGGTTGTGGCGGAACCTCAAACAGATTCCAAACGAAAGAGCAATGCGAAGAGGTCTGCATGAAATCGCAATCGAATGATGTGCATGGACAGCAACAACAACAACAACAAACCGATCAGCCACACGCATCGATGCGTTATCCTCAAAATCCAGGCATTCAATTTTCTTTTCTTTATGATAGTTTCTTTTTCTTCATGGTAACTGAAGAATTGTCCATCTGCAGCTTATTGTTGACAAATGCTTATGGCCCGCTCAAGCACTGAACGCTTGCATCGCTCAAATTTTATTGCTTCATGAAAACGGATGCACTGCTTGAAGAAACCCTAAATGATCTTATTCTTATTAATGAATTACAATGCATGTCGTATGATCGACAGATGAAGAATTTGATCTATTTTATGTAATGATAGAATTCTATCAAAGAGCATTCTC